AGTCGTTCTATACCTAGAACAAGTACGAATTAGCGGATCGCAATCCGCTTACTCCGAGAGTATTTATTGCTTTACCCAAGGCTAATTAGCTCTTCCGTTTAAAATCCAAAACTGATTTTTATTTATTTATTCTAATTTTTAAAGTTTAGATTTTCCTAAATATACTAAATATATATAGTAAAGTCTCAATACATGCATAACTACTGGCTACCTAGCTCTTGTCTGGGTGTGGTCACACCATGCACATCTCGTGTGACACACACCCCTGTTACCAGATTACGTGTAATAACCGCTGCCATTTGCGTGACACGCACTATTTCCCTAGGCAAGTGCCTCAGTCTAGGGCAACACCGTGGCGGAGAATCGCTACCACTTGTTGCATCCTAGCGGGGGTAACTTTCACACTGCTATTTCCTTTACCGAAGGATAGAACTGTTTCAGAGTATCCTCGAACATAGCTGATCCATTGCTGGTTCAGTCCGCAATGACTGGCTCATCCACATCGGATAAAGAGGCAGATCCTCTAAGGGAGTACTCTATTATCGTGTCCACAAATGATACGAGTCGGACTTAAGAGAGGAGATTAATGTACCATCAATGTCTGGCAAGTCAAGAGCTTCTAGTACCCCGTGCATTTCCTTGTCTCGCTAGACAGCAAAACAATTAGCGCATGTACGCATATGACACGAATAAAATCTTCGACAAATAACACGAATAAGTCCTTCGACATCAGAGTATGCAAATCAAGAATTTTCGTGGCAAGTTTCACTAATGGATCGTCAAAACTAAAGTCAAATAAAAGCAAACCATTCACCTAGCTGTGATCACAATGATGATTGTTCATCAGAGCAGCTAGTGCAATTTTTAAGGTAGAGATCTCTACCGTAACAAGTAGAAGCAGGTCTCAAGCGCCTTGCAGCCTCTGTTAAGTCGGTTCATTTCGTTAAAGTTGACCTCCGCCACACATGTTAAAGGCGATATAACAATCAGCGTAGTTTATTTTATACTTTGGAGATATAACAACCTTTTAAAATTTCACAAAACAGCTTATATCACATAATTGGCAGAATAATACTACTTTCGAAGTACAATTAACCTCTTAATCGTCAAGCAAAGAGATCGTTGTTTCCGAAATGAAGGCATCTTCACAGCCAAAGTCGAAGCTGAACTGTTTTTCTCGAATACAGCCTCGTGCATCGAATAAAGAACAATCTACTAACACTTAGGCATTAACCAACTCTATGTCAAAAATGAGATCGGCGTTGCCCGGGATAGTGGGCGGCATTCCTTCACGGCCGTAACCAAGCTTTGCCGGTATTTTGATGGTACGTTTGCTTCCAACACGCATGCCCTCAATTCCTATGTCCATTCCCTTGATCACGTCGCCAATACCATGACGAAATGTGAACGGCTTTTTTCGGCTTTGATTAGAGTCAAACTGCTTGCCATTCGTCAGACGCCCGCGATACAAAATGCTCACCTTGCGACCACGCTGAACAGGGCCACCTTTCCCCACAGCACTGCAACATCAAACAAAATAATAAGAGCGTTACTGATACGGTTAGCATCCACTTCTTTCATGTCGCGCTTACATTTCCTCAATAGTGACACCTTTGTGTACGCGGGTAGCAACTTTGGCTTTTTTTGGGACTTCCACAGATTCCACTGCGGCTGCACGCTTCTTATTCTTCGGGTGAGAGCCTGTCACCTCAGCAATTTTCTCGACAATCTCTTTCTCCTTGATTTTTTGCTTAGCTATTTTTTTGTCTTCTTTAGACTGCTCTCCATTACGGGCAATACCAGCAGCGACAACCTTTTTATCGGCAACCTCCTTTTTCACCTCCTTCTTCACCTCCACTGCAATCTTCTTTTTGCTCGCTATATTGCTATTTATATTGGATTGTTTTTTTGCCTCCATCTCCACCTTTTCGGTGACTGGTTCGTTGTGAAGACGCTCTTCAAGCACTTCAAAACGGCTCTTTTTGGACTCGTCGATCATCTCCACTTCCGAATTGTCTTCTACATCGACACTTGAGTCGTCTTCATCGCCACCAAACATCATCATTTCATCCTCTTCACCATCAGATTCATTATAATCATTCTCGTCGCCACTGCCCTCTTCCTCGATAAATCCAGTGAGATGGATAGCGTTGGAGCCACCCACCACGAATTCTACTGCACCATCTGCAACGGTAAATGTCTGCGTTAAATTCCATTGCTCGGCCACCTCGGGCGTCAGCGAACAGAGCGCAATTTTAGACATCTTAGACGTGACAGAAAGAGTCGAGCGGCCCTTAATCGCGTCGGCACCCAGCGCAGCCGAGTTAAGCTGCATGCAAAAGCCTGTACTATCATTTTTCCACTGTAGTTTGTGACCAGGCTTGAGCACATGGCCAAAGAAACCAGGCACAGGCGGCAACACAGCTACTTCCTTCTTCTTTTCCGACTTCTTTTTGCCCATTTCAAACAATTCAGATTTGACTGATTGGCGGAGAGAGCCTTGCAATGGTAGAAAATCTAATAATTGAACGTAGAATTTAGTATAAATTTTGGTAAGCTCGAAGGACAAACCAGAAGAGGTTTGTGAAATTTTATTAAATGCACGTATTACATTATAGATGTTCTTTTACTAAACTGACTCGCGTGCGTATCAAATTTGATCGTCGATGATCGCTCTGCTCGCGATGGCGGCAGGTTCCACAAAGGCTAGACGTATTTGAATGTCCGACAAATTTTCTTCAACTGTAAGCCCACTTTCTTCCAAGTTGCTTTCTCGAGGCGGGTGTGGTAGAAACCTTGTCTGCGTCGACGATTTCATCAAGAGGCAGCTCAGACTTGCCACCGTCACATATGTTACTAGCTTTCACATAATCGCCGCCCAAATTATAGTACAGTCGAAGAGCTCACATATATAAACATGTTTTTCAACGTTCATGATGTGGCAGCATGGAATGCCATATTGCTGAAGGTCTTGCTTCGATCGAGAATGCAGCCAATTGACACAGAGGTCATGCACAAAAGCAATCTTGCGCCCTCAGCTTGACCTCAATTTGATGTGCTTGATCGATGCGTTCGACGATAAGAAGCGTAACGAGTTTTTTTTCCTTACTTGTCATACATTTTCCATAAAACAAGAAAAGTCAGCAGGCGAAGTGGCTTCTCGGTATGCTGGAAGATCAAAATGTTCGAGAAATTTTACAGTCGCGTAGTGAAAAGTTGATTTCCATAGTACCAGAATTTGCCGAAGTCGACCAATCTGCGGCAAATGTGTGTCATTAAGTGTCAAGACAGGTCAATTTCCTCTTTCGTTCTGGTTGGACTTCCAGTAGGTAGCCTTCAGAAACACTTGAGGTACATTTGATCTAAAAACGTATCAATTGTAAATAACACCGCAAGGCCACTCGGACATCATATTGTCCGACAGTACAACATAGAAATTACCTTACATCCTCCTAGAGTGACCTGCTTTCCTTTTGGTAAAATTTGAAGATCTTTTTTAAGGCGCTTGACAGATCTCAATCGAGGAGGCGTAACCTTGTTTCCAACGTGCACTATGATAATTGAGAGAATACGATGCATCAGCTCGTCGAACATTGCAGGATCGTGAAAGACAGCCCGTTGCAAAGTAACGAAATCGGGCTTCCAGGTCACAATGTACTTGCGAAGCATGGCGTGTTCTGTAGGTAAAACATAACTAGTCAATAAGTATGAATAGACCGAAAGCATTTACAACCGTACCGACACATGCAAATTCCTTTTTTGCTTTATCGGCAATCAGCTGGAACCGAGAAAACAAATTTAAGATGTCAGAACCTTGCTCACTTTCCAATCGCATCAACTCCTGTTTATACATAAGAAGTTAGTTTGTTTAAGCCTATTCAAAGCTGATCGGGCTACCTGACGAATTCGAACGCGATCGAATATGGGGTTGTCATTGGATGGATCGTGTATCCAAGTTCTTCGAAATCGAGCGCATGTCGCTAGCAATTCGCCCTTTGTAGTAGAAAGCAATGGTCGAACAATTGTTGTGTGGTTTCGCGCATTGTTCTCGCTGAAGATTGATCCATTTCCTAGATCATGAATCGAAGATAAAGGATGCGTTCTGGACATCCCTGCTAATCCATTGATGCCGCTTGACCGACCAAGACGAAATAGTGTCGTCTCCAACTGGTCACCGCGATTATGAGCCACAAATAAGCAGCACACCCGGTACTTCTTACAGACTCGCTGCAGCAAGTTGTAGCGATATTGTCGTGCTTGTTCTTCTATTTTGCTTTTACGCGGTGTCACTGACCTAGAATTATCATTCTGACCACCACCTCGCATTTGTTTTCCAGCTTTTTCGAGATGCCAGTCACAGACCTCAATAATGTGTTTGATACCGCCACAATCAGTACAAAGCTTAGCAACTTCCAGAGCTTCCTTGCTACTTTCAAAACGCAATCGATGGTCCACTGTGACTGCCAAAAGCGGAGTCTTGATCTGATTCTCTTGCATATACTCTTTAAGCAGCAACATCAAAGCCACGCTGTCCGCGCCACCTGAGCACGCCACTGCAATAGGAAATTCATCGTTCGGTGCACGTTGCCCCTGCTCCAGCGGATAGAGCTCCTGACAAAGCCTTTTATCGGACAGACCGCAGTCACGCAAAAAATCCGCAAATGTTTTGGGCGATACTGAGCCACGATAGGATTTGTCGCTCTGAGTAGATGATACAGATCTCAGTTTCGTAACAAAATGACCAACACGGAGAGTAAATGGTAAGATCCGAGCATGCGCGTGCGCTGTAATTGTAAGCATTATGGAGAGCGCAAGGAACTATATCAATAAAACATTTATCCAAAACAAGTGAAAAAAAATTGGCTAAGTGACTTGAAAAAATTGTTAAACGTTGCGAGAAGTACAGTCCTTAAGCGAACAGTGTACTGCTTCTATTGTATGCTAACCTCAGGAGAGCTGCACAACGATTTAGTTATCGAAAGCGCAAATGTAGGAACATATAATAGTAGCAATGCTTGATGGTGGCTTGCGACTCATGCACCACATACATTATCTTAGACATTTTCACTGCTGCGCGGTATGATGCATTGTGTCTCTAGTCCAGAGAAATGAGAGAAAGATTATTGACTTAGTGACGCTTTATTTTTCTCAAAGAGTAGCTTTAGCTCACAAATGCGTACACTTGCTTAAAAGGTGGAGTACTTGCCCAGCTTTTCCACGTTGCGAAAATCTTTGCCGGCGAAACGGGCGTTGGCACCAAGTTCCTCCTCAATACGCAATAGCTGGTTGTACTTCGCCAAACGTTCTGAACGGCACGGAGCACCAGTTTTGATCTGGCCGGCGCTCAAGCCTACTGCCAAATCTGCAATGAACGTGTCCTCAGTCTCACCACTACGGTGACTGGCCATAATTGCCCAGCCTGCTTTCTTGGCCATCGTCACGGCTTCGATCGATTCCGTTATACTGCCAATTTGGTTCACCTTGAGCAAAAGAGCGTTGCAAGCCTTTTTTTCAATGGCCTTTTTCACACGGGTCGGATTCGTCACCGTAAGGTCATCGCCAACAATCTGCACGCTTTCGCCGACTTTAGCCGTAAACTGAACCCATGACTCCCAGTCGTCCTGGTCAAATGGGTCCTCAATTGATACGATCTTACTAGAGTTAGCACACTTAGCAATAAAGCCTTCGTATACCTCCTGCAACTTGTCGGCCGTAAATTTCTCAGATTCCGCAGCATTTTCATTTTTAAAGTCAAGATTGTATCGAGCATCCTCGGCACCAGTGTAAAATTCGGACGCAGCCACGTCCATGCCAAGATTTACCTTATCTGTGTATCCCGCAGTTTTGATGGCTTCTTCAATCAAATTGATAGCCTCACCATTCGACTGAATGTTCGGAGCGAAGCCACCCTCATCACCTACGGCGGTAGCATCCAGGCCATAGCGCCCCTTGATCACCTTCATCAACGTATGATATACCTCTGAACCAATCTTCATGGCTTCCGTAAAGTTAGCGGCACCCACCGGCAGAATCATAAACTCCTGCATGGCAAGCTTGTTGCCAGCATGCGATCCGCCGTTAATAATGTTAAACGAGGGCACTGGCAGGCACGGTGTTGGATTGCCTGCAAGATCAGCAATATACTGCCACAGAGGCTGATTCTTGGCAGCAGCGCCTGCACGGCACAGAGCAAGCGACACTCCCAAGATCGCGTTAGCGCCTAATTTCTTTTTGCACCAACCCCACTCATTCTGCGAGCCATCAAGCTCCTCTACCATATAGCGGTCAATCTCAGCCTGCTTGGTCACGTCTTTTCCAAGCAAAGCTGGGGCAATGATCTGGTTTACGTTTTTAACGGCGTTTGAAACACCCTTCCCCATGTAGTCTTTGCCGCCATCGCGCATTTCCAAGGCCTCAAATTCGCCAGTGGAAGCACCGCTGGGAACAGCAGCGCGGTACAGACCAAGCTCAGTGACAAGGTCAACCTCGACGGTTGGGTTGCCACGTGAATCAAAGATCTGGCGGGCTTTGATAGACAAAATTGAGACCATTGTGAAAAAGGGGTTGCGTGGGAATTTGCTTTTCTGAAACTAAACTAACATCCTGAATGCCTTTATCAGCCGATCTTAAGGCGAGTTCACTCATTATTAGTATTGGTAAAGAAAATCAGGATGATTCACGAATTTTTAACTGTGGCAAATACGATACGATATTAAGGAGGGTTGCTTATTACTTATTTTGACACATCCAATATTGAAGGAAATGGCTGTGTTTTGCTAACCACAAGGATTTTTTTCATGTGCGACATATACCCTTTGATGTAGCCCTTGAAAATAAGGTTTGTGAGAACGCACTCAATCTCATCCATCTCCATAGAGCGCCCGGTAGCAACCTTCAGCGCCAGCTGAAAGTCTTGCATTTGCAATTGGTGATTTTGCTGAATCAAATAGCTACGACACAATCCCGGTGAGTATATCATCTCATAATTATGGCATTTACACGTACACTTTCTTGAATAGATTTCTTAGAACCAAGAGGCGAAGTTTTTCAATCAAAAGATACACGCCTTGCTGGATAAATTTGTCCTGGTAACGAGCCAAATACTCCGTAAAAAGATGCAGATTACCACCACGAATGGCGTCCGTGAGACCCGAGTACTCCTCAAGTCCAAAATCAGAAAGCAATTTGGGCGAAGGCATTATACCAAGCAACAGCTTTACTGGTACAAGAAACTGCAGAATCATGCGCTTGTTGCGTATCTTGCTACGATGACAGTGCTTCCACGCATAGTCAAGACACTTCTCTGCCTTCTGATATTGGTCTTCAAACATGGAAATTCGGCCCACGTAATATTGGTACGTTACCTTGTCGCTCATGTCAAATAGCTCAAATTTTGGAAAGGCTGGGCCCTCAACAGCCCGGATAAGATTGCGACACAAGTGGATCATATTGAGCTTGAAATAAATCTTGAAAAGCTGATTTACGATAAATAATGCACCTATCTTCTTGTTGTACTCAAGCGGAGCTCGGTCATTCGCTGCCATAGCAAATCCTTTCTTTAGATGCTGTTCCGCACTGCGTAAACTGTCGTGAATTTCGTCCCCTGTTGTCTGTGAGGCTTCGTTGTCCGCCTAATGATGTAGGAGCCAAAAAGCTAAATATTAAGTTTTAAAAACACTGAACAGGTTAAATTGTTATCGTTTCTTACCCGAGCAGCCAGCAGCCGCGTATCCACAAAAAGCACGTGGAGGAAGGGCATGACCCAATTAGTTTCCTCTCTAAACATCTCCATAAATTTTCTATACATAGAGACATTCCCGCTCGCATTAATGTCTTGCTCTCTTTTCCTTAACTTTCATGCGCTTTAAACGTACATAACAGCACCGATCTGTGCACTATAGGCTTTCGTATAACTCTGCAAACTTAAGTGCTTGCACGCTTCAATTATGCCCGCCACGACCTCAGCGTATCCGTCGAAGCGCGTCAGTAGATTTTGGCAAGTTTGTGCAACTTGTTGCGCCGTAAGCGCATGCAGTTCCACATCTGCACACCCACCCGTCAGTCTCAGCATTTGTGCCATTAATTTACCGTCCTGGCTGGCAATTGCTGCCTCCACGCGATCCACGAATGCCGCAAGCTTCATTGTCGTAATTGAAAAAAGTGGTAAGTTACTATAAAGCGATGATCGGGTTTTACAGGTATCAGGTTCACTTTTCAAAGCAGTATCATATTACAAGACGATTGCCATGGATGCCGCAAATAAGCGCCGTGGGCTTGTCGACAGTGATGTAAAAGCCACCGAGAGCGCGCGGAGCCTTCCTTCCAACCGCCGTACAAGTGCTCGCCCCACATCGTCGGGATCGTGGATCGGCGCGCCACTAGTGTACGCCGTCGTGACGTTCTTCTGCTTTATGGTTTTGCTACACGTGTGGCAATTTTCCACGTCACAATTGCACCCAAAGCTACTCACGCCGTTTTACAACAAAACGATGGTGCAATTCTCGACAAAGTTTGGCGCATTTACGATCGACTTGTACCCGGAGCACGCCCCCAAGACTGTAGCCGCCTTTGAAAAGCTTGTGCATAGCGGCTTTTATCTCAAAGACGCCGGCTTCTACTACAACGAGCCGAAGTATGTATTACAGGGAGGGGGGTTCCTTTTTGACAAAAAGTCACCCATAAGTAATCTCCCTGTAGAGTATAGCGCCCCTAGCACCGAGAGAATGGTGGTCATCGCTCGAAGCCACAAGTCGGACTCGGGCAACACTGAATTCGCCATAATGCTACACGACAATACTGAAAGGAACAAACCGGACGATGATGAACCAGGCTACACGACATTTGGACGTGTTGTCGAAGGTTGGCACACGATCGAGTCCATTTCGAAGAAAATGTTGCCCGGATTTTTGGCTAAAGAAGATCGCGACCGCCAGATTGACTTTGAAAAGGTTGAATTTGTACAGAGACTCACAAATGATGATTATGAAGCCAGAATGCGTCTTGAAGAGCTGACGTTCGCTCTGGAGGCCCCCCATAGTGTGGTCATCATCTCTGAGAAGGACTGTCCGGAGAAAAAGGAATTGCAGAAAATACTTCACAAGTTCCGTACAACAGTGCGCACGAAGGAGATTGGCTTTGCTAACCACATTCCGTACGAGCTTGAGGCGGTCGAGGCACTGACTGGTCTCGCATCGCTGCCTCTTGTATTCATTAATGGCAAGTACTTTGGCGGCTTGCGTGAAGTACAAAAGATGGAGCAGACAGGTTCACTTCGTTTGATGCTGGAAAAAAGTGGCACGCTTGCTGAGGATACTGTTTGGTCGGCCATCAACCAAAACCCTCTCGTGCTGTTCAGCAAGTCGTACTGTCCGTACTGCAAAAAGACAAAGGAGACATTGGCGAGCGTCGGTTCTAAACCCATTGTATTCGAATTGGATACTCGTGAAGATGGAGCTGCTATCCAAGCTTTTCTTTTTCGGTTGACGCGCCAGTCCACTGTACCCAACCTCTTTATTAAGGGAAAAAGTGTCGGAGGAAATGATAATGTGCAGGAATTGGAGCGGTCTGGCGAATTAGTGGATCGTCTCAAAAAGGCTCGAGTCCTCGACTAAGATAACAGATCAAGGCAAAATCTAATATGATAAAGAAGACAATTGTTTGTTTTTGCATTAAAATGTGCGTGCGGCACTACATGTAAAACCACTTCACCCGGCACCTTGCTTCTCCCATTTCTCATCATGTATCCGTTCCTATGCCTTTTCCAACCACAACTCAGCTATCAATTAAGTGTGCAGATGGCTGTGATCGAAAAACTGTTTAGTGCTAGCTCCCTTTGGGGTCGGCCGATTATTCGCGACATCGTCAGCACCTAGACCAATTGACTCGGACGTAAGCATAAATGGCCCGTTATTTCTTTTGTACTGCGAATTTCCTGCACGCATCGTGTAGAAGGTATCTCGATGTGATTTTTGATTAAACTCGGTATTTTGTGAGCGCCCAATGTCGTACAGGTGTTTCGTTTTGCAAAGACCTTCAGGAAAGTCACGACTTTGGTTCAACGAATTTAGTGCAGCAGAAAAATATGGCGGGTCTTTCTGCTTCTGTTTGTCGAGAATCTTATTCTCTGTGTGTAATGTTTCACGATACTGCTCTGTTCGAATATGGCTCATAAACTCATCTCGCCGACTTGCATCCTTGGAACCGAAACCAGACTTTCGTGTATCCATTGGCTGCGATTTAAGATAGGCGGTGTTGTCTTGCAACGGATCCGAAGTGTACGATTTCTTCTCAAAGTACCCCAATCCATTGCTCGTGTCCTTTGCCGGAACAGTAAAAATTTGTTTGCCCTTGTGGCGTGAGCTCTTGCCTTCGATTATGTGCGGATCACGATATGGATCACCAATGGTGAGGTAGCTTTCAGCTATATTCTTGTTAAGCACCTTTGTTGAGTACATTTTACGAATTCCCTGTCTTTTACAGAATAAAGATCAGGATGGTTCATACTCTTAGTATTTTTAGGACAAATGTGATAAGACAAAGTATTTTTGGCCTTATTGCGGTGAATCTAAGAAACAGTGCTTAAAATATGGACCTGAACTGATAAAAGGTGGTAAGCAGTATACGGGATCTCTTTTTTGCTAGCTCTATACCAATGAGCGCGATCAAGTGCCACGATTTGGCCAAGAATTTGACTGTTATTCGAATATGTTGTGCGGCTGATTAGAGGAATCGTCCAACAATAAAAAAGTCTGATTTGAGCAGTCTTTGATACGGCGAGGGTCAATGATGGTGATCAGTCGAAGGCACCATGATGACTATGAAGTCCAACATATGGCAAGGTCAACCAACTAGCGCATATGTCCCCCAACATGTATGACCTGTACTGTTCCTAAATTAAGTGATGTACTACGGTGGTCTGCTTCTCACCCCAAATTTATCAGAATTGCTCACAATGCGAAAGAGGCGAATTGACCTCACATTCTCCCATTACAGGTTGCAAACATGGTACACCACGCTAAGGTAAGTCATTTTCAGTGTTTAGATAATTTCCACATGGTACAAGAATTTATTATAAGCGACCCCTAGAATGAGAAATGAGACGCTACATACCTTATCTGACAGCCACACTCACCCAGTTTCCAAACGCTGCTCGATGGTCAAATCTTTTCTTAATCGAGGTTTTCGGTTTAGCTTTAGAAACAACGAAGCATGAGAATTTATCCCACCTTCTGCGCAAGTCGCGTCTTGAGTTTGACCCACTACCTCGGATTAAAATTCATCAAAATTCCTTTTTTTATTGAATGTGGGTGACTTTATATTTTAGCCGACAGTACCATGATAATATTTGTAATTCACATGAGGGGCGTACGTACCTTATAATAATGTACGTAAGGCTTACTATTGTCCCACGGGCTTGGAGCCATGCTCATAAATACCAAAGTATGGTACTATTATGAAGCATCATGATTAGTACTTCGGTTGGAATCTCGAAAAGAGTTGGGCACATGGTGTGCAGCGGGGCTGCCGTAGCGTTGCGCTTAGATGAAGCGTAATTCAGGTCACCGACCTTTCGTTCTATACTTAGAACAAGTACGAGTTAGCAGATCGCAATCCGCTTACTCCAAGAGTAATTATTGCCTTATCCCAAGGCTAATTAACGGATTTTTACGAATAGAAGACCTTCTACTATTACAAGCCCCCATCGAATTTTCGACAATGTTAGATTACACTGTTAGACAATTATCTTAAACGCTTCGAATTGCTACGACCAAAATAAGTGCGTTAAAACCACAATAAATTCGTTTTCATGACCTGGTCTTGAACTCCATTGAAGCTGCAGATTTCACAAAAGCCCGTCACAGTGGTTCATTTGGAACCATGATGTTTACGGGTGGAAATTTCAGCAAAGGTGGAGCAATGCCGACAGTGAAAGCGAGGATGATCCCTTCAATGTAGACGAGCTAGACCAAGCCTTGGATGACGTTGATGTCGTCGAGATATAGTAGCCCTCTACGAAT